AATGTCAAAATGGTCTATGTGTTATAGCCATATAGAGAGTGAATATCAAGAAATTTGAACTTACTTTTGAGAGAATTTAAAGTTACCTCTTCCAAAAGGCTTGGGGAAGATGTTTGCCAATTTTCCTTGAGAAGTAATGTAGGAAGGAGTGATTATACGACAACGGTTACTTGCTGTCTTTTAATTTTCGGCAAAACACGACACTCAAATGACAATTTTTCCCTAGAGACTACAATTTTTCACCGTCTATTACATTTTTCGTACTAATGTATTAAAATACATGAACTATTAAGAAATACTAGAACGAAGATCCAGAATCAACTAGTTATATAGAGTCACAATGAATTTCAACAATCAAATTGCCTACCACATGCTTGCAAAAATTAATTCTATACAAGACCATTCAACCATTAATTAATTGACTTGGTCTCTATGAGAAGTAGTGACCCATGGAATTAAAGCCACTAATACACATGCAAATGGCTAGGGCCATCCCCACACACATATCTGATACGAGTTTATTATTATTGATATAAACACACGGATTACAGCGAAATTAAAACAACAAAAAAGCAAAGAAAAGGTAGTGATGAAGTCTAGTGCCACTTTTGCGGGGAACACGATTGCATTTGCGCATGCAACAAGTCTTTTAAACCCATAGGTGACCTAAATGGGACGAGTGAAGTCTCGTGAGGGTTTCCAAAGACGCTACCCACAAACATCATGTATAATGATAATTAATATTTACATGTACCACCGGAGACTGAGTACATATCCACCCCTTGCGAGTCGGGGGTTTTTTGGTGGAGGCGTAATTCGAATCTATTTTCGATGAACGGCCTTGTTAAAAGGTCGCTTTGCAAGTGCGTAATCGGCAGCGCGTGATTTGGTTGTTGTTATCGGGTGGTCCGACAGGCTCGACCTTGAACAATGTGCAAGCCCAATTGTCTTTGGTTTCGTTTCGGTCGGTAGCTGCGGCCAGGACCAGTAGCCTGTTTTGGTCCACCCTTCTCAAGTAGTTGCCATTGTAGGAGCATTTGATATGCACATAATGCTTATCGGCATAGTCCTCATTGTTTGGTGTTTCAGTGGTGAACTTTACGAATCGGCTGTCAGGATTGTCTTCAGAGAATTGAACAATCTCATTAATGTCGCTTTCTGCATCAAGTTGGTAGCGCAAGTATTTGTTGTTGGTCTCTGCTTTCAGCAGAAATGGGCTTGGTAATACAGGTGGAGCCATGTTGTATGGTATAACTGGGATTGGGAAAATCTCTCTTCTGTCTTCTCTCTTGATGATTGAATTTGCTTGCTGTGAGTGTGATCCCTAGCTCAAAACCTGCTTTCCTATTTATAAGAATTTAATCACTAGCTAGCTCATGTTCTGACATTTTCTTAGTCTTTTTGAATTAATATTAGTTAACTTCATCTGTCAGTTTCTCATCTCTTTCATTTATATGAACATGGCTGATCTCATTCAAGTGACATAAGATTTGGTAAAATAGCTGATCTCATCCATTTATTTGTATCATTTTCAAACTATTAGTTTCTAATCGTAAAACTAGTGAATGTGCTTTTGAAGTGTTACGTGCGAAGACAAGTGCTCATATTTTAACAAAAAATAAAAACCTAACCCGTGAGCATAATATTTTTTTTTCCCTTCTCTGTTTGGGGTCATATACAAACAAATGCATGCTTTCTAAGCGATGAAACCCTATCAGTCTTTAATTTTGAGGGAGAGACTAATTTTTGTTGGTGCATTTATAAAATGGCTAGTAAGCCCAATTCCCTAATAATTAATTGACTTGGTTTCTATGACAACTAGATCCAGAAGATGGAACTACAAACTAGCGAATTGTCAACTTTCATAAAGTAAATGGCAACAGGTCTGGAGTCTTTTATTAAAATTGTTTTGTACATGTTCCCACTATGATGACGGATTAAAGTACATGACTATAAGTGTTGCGGGTCTTTATATAAAATTAAGAATTTTATAACATGTGAATTCAAGAACTTAAAGTCTCAATCTTGCGTGCTAGCTACGTAACAAATAAAATAGGCATAAAAGACAGTAATATAACTGTGCAGGTGTCAAGTATAACTAACGATTCGTTCACATCCATGGCTCGTTTTGTACGAAGGAATGTATAAGTCCCAAATCTCAAAGGCAATTGAGAGGAGAAATGGAAATAGTGTGACCAACTACAGGGTAGAAAATAAATTGCAAATGAGCTTATAACTAATCACGACATTAAAGTGACTGGTTCTTGTTGAGGGTAAATTAAAGACGGTCTAAACTCTCAATATAGTAGCTAGGGCAAGCCCCACCTCTACGTGTGAGCAGTGTTCTAAAAATCGGCATTGGCGCTAGACAGTGGTTCGCTACCACGATTAAACCAAAATCGTTGAAGAAATCAGCAAGGGTATTAGGTGGCGCCTAGACAGCCCACATAGGGACTTCTTCAATATGTATATATATACCAAAATATCCTCTTAGAGATCCATTAATACCGGCCTATTATCAGAAGTAGTGATAAACTCTATCCTCATAACAAGTTCAAGTTCCATTGTGATTCTTATCTCTCAGTAAATACTTGATAAGTACTCCTGTTAAATTGGCTGCACAATAATTAAACTCCACAATTCCTATTATATCAAGGATCTCAGATTCCTTCAACCACACAACTCGCATAATGAGTTTACGTGTAATTCAAGAAATCTAGTTGTTATCTCATTGTCATTCACACATAGTCTAACATGAATAAGTTCTTTTTGAAGAAAAAAAAATGAAGTCTAACCTTTTCCTTTTGGTAATCTCGTATATCAATAACTCCAAGTGAAAAAACCAAATCATTGACTGCCGGACAAATAGTCTAATCGTGCTTTTAAATAAGATACAATGTGAGATTTAAGGGTTGTGTCTTGAAGTTGTAGATAGCAGTTATAACACGTCGAAATTGAATGGGTGTTTCGTCTTCTACATTGCATTTTGGAGACGGTTTCAATTGCTTGTTTTATTAAGAGGAAAAGTTAGAAGGTGTGCTAACCAAGGCCAGCTACATGATAAGGCAATTGCTTTTGGGGAAAGATCGTTGGGTTGAACCCTTTACTTCCTTGTTCTTATAATCACTCATACAATTGCTTTGTACACGAACGAGATGAACAAAGTATCTAACCTGATTTTCTTCGAAAGTTTTGAATACTTTTTCGGGTGTTTGAATCTTCGAGATTGTAGATTGTAATTTTGATCATCTTTCATACAAAAGTCGGTAGTAGGAAAGTTTATAACTCATTGATCGAGCTACTTTCTCGGAGATCAACAAAGCCTTCGAATACATGTTCCCGCCGCCACCCGGGGAGGGCGGGCGCGGGGGCGGGTGGGAAAGGGGGTGGGGGTGGGGTGTGGTTGGGAGGGTGTGGGGTGAGAAAGACGTAAACTTCCATTTCCATTCACAAGTATAACACAAAGTGGTGCAGCTTTACACACTTTCAACACGATGGACGTAAAAATATACGAAAGAAACAGCAAATGATAGACTTGTCAACGATATAAATAATTTGTGCTTGGATATTGTTTGTACCCAAAATAATGGATTTGGGCCGAGTATTGTTATGGGCTCAGCCCAGAGTTAGACAATCCTAATTCCCTGTCTGTTTAGATAGAAGGCCAACCCAAGGTGGAAAAGCCGAATTTGAATAAATGCTGGATTCCATAAGGATTGAGATTGGATTCGGCTAAGTCCTGATTTAATTAGAAGTCTTCAAAGATCAGGACTGCATAATAAGATTTGTAATATTCCAAAGATTGAAGTGTGAATTTGATCAGCACAAGGAATGAACTAAATACAAAGGAATGATTAGGTTTAGAATCCCAAGTCTGGTGGGAGTGACCGAGCCCAACCCAGATGATAGGATGATTTGTTATTGGATCAAGATATGCTGAGGAAATACACAAATTTGCCCTACCCAATTTCTCGCTCTGTATGAAATCCAACTGACCGCCCTAACTTCATCAAGCATACCTCTCAGCTTGTGTTAAACAGCTCTGTAATTGACAACTAGCGACATCTCTTAATTTGTGTTAAGCAACTCTGGAGCCGTAGAGCCAGGCGATCGAGGAACATCTCTCAGTTTGTGTTAACATCTCTACTCCAAGTTCAGTTGACTACCTATCTAAGTCTTTATCAATGAGGGTTTTTTGAGGATTTGTTGAAAGAGGTCATCTCATCAACCTTTTCGACGAAGTGAGGTGTTATCAAGTTACATCATTCGACACTTTAAAAGTTGAACATTTGTTGAACTTCGCAGAAACTAGCAATCTTACCTTTAGGCTGTAGAACCCAAAGGCCGAGACGAGTTCCTTTCTCAGCTCCAAACGAGTTCCTTCCTCAACTCCAATCACTCAGATAAAAAGTCAACAACACATTTGACACCAATGCCACATTCATCTACTCACCGACTAAGCTCAATTGCCAAGTTGGCATGCCCCACATTCAACCGAAGGATAACTCATTAGCTATTCAACCGCACGTTACATGGGTTTGGTAGTTTTGTAGGGTCAACAGATATATAAGGTTTTTGTTATATGTTCCTGACAAAATATGGTCCTAATAGTAACTAATTAGCAAAGGTACAACCTTTTTATGTATGCTTAAAAGGTGACGAATCAGTAACACCACTTTTGTACGCAGATGATTTTGTGAGTTCATTCTGTAACATATTTCAACGATCTGAAACATCTATCTTTTGGATCTTTCTTCAAAGTTATATCAACAAAAACACCCCCAAAAACTAGAACCATATAACCATGGGATTAAGGATTTTGAGTTTACTTGTAGAATCGTATTCGTTCATCTTTCTTCACTTCAAATGAATGTCTTAGTGATTTTGAGTTTGTCTATTTATTGCAAATATCATTTATAGGTTATCCTTACAACAAATTACCATCCTATTATTACGTGAGTTTAAATTTTGAAATATGTCTATTAAAAGAGGCAGTTGAATCATGTTTGATGAACTGATGTATTGAACGATCCATGAACCCCAAAAGGACAAACACCTTGTGGTCAGTCTTACAGACAACAGATAGATACATGTGTGTGATTCTTGATAAAGACCTTTAGCCCTCGATGGAACATCCCTATGAACCCATGCCCCAGTTGACATAGTTCATGTGTTACAAAGAAATAAACCTTTTCGAGTTGAGGCCATACGGTTTCACATCATACGTCATCACCTACAATAACATCCCTCGATTGACCTATTAAATTGTTCAAAGATACCATACCTTCGGATGCGAGCTTGCGCAATAAGACCAAATTAAACATAAAAGACCAGTCTGTAGTATACGAGCTTCCAGCACCCATCATTTGTAGAATTCAAAGTCAGTGTCGGGCTTCTTCACGTTGGTTTGGTAACCCTTCTCAAAGTCCTTTGGGAGTATGACATATCGGTTCTTCCGAACTGCATGCATTCCTGCTTCTTGACATATAGCTGAAATCTGTACAAACCCAAACCATTTACGACAGTTACTACACAATCAATTTTTTTTTTTATATAAAACGATAAAAGATCTGAGACCACCAGCAGAGCCCCGATGATATTAGCAATCAGACACAGAATACTACAGCTGACGTCAAATACGAGAACTCACATTCGTCAGAACAAATTTTACTGGAGATTCACTATGAGAAGGTCTTTGTTATCGATCATTAAAAGGCTAAATTCAACCCCATTTGACGATGTTACTGTCCCCAATGCTGGCATTATTTACAGATCCGTCCCATATAAGACATGTATATTCTTAAAGCCATAATTCTTCTAAACAAACATACATGTACATGTCTAACATCGTGACTGTTGTTCTAACCAAGAGCTTTAAGCAAATATTTCTTAGTATTTCAAGATCATAGCACAAGCCCAACAGCGCCCCAACCAAAACCCCGAATTAAATTAAAATAGAGAATTAAAAAACACAACATAATACTAACAGGATTTAACATTGGTAGAAGAATGAGAACGATAAGCATATTCTCTCCCAAAAGAAATTAGTGTCTCACCTCAGCAGCACTGATTTTGTCTGGCCGAGAGACATAATCTTCCAAGTCTACCTCATCACTCAAGTTCATTTTAGCGGTGCAAACCTGCAGAACAGGTAGGTCCATTGACATTATAGTAATTGCATTAGCTTGTCAAAAGTCCACAAGAGTAAGAAATCATGATTGCAAAAGAAAATATAGAAGAAAGGGTATATAATAAACTGGTGCCAAGTTTGATAAATATCATAAGACATAAGGATAACAGAGGGCTGAATGGGATAATCTCATAGTAGAAATTGGGTGCAGATGTGTTTTGAGGTGTCCGACTTCTGTGCAGTCCGAATCTCAGACATAGGGGGTAAGTAACAGGTCCACTAATATGGATGGCACTGAATGGACATAGCACAAGCTACAAAACTTGTGATTATGAGAAAAATGAATACCTCACAGCTTACAAACAACATTTCACCAATAACAATTCTTTCATTGAAAGATACTTTAATCATGTTATTTACCTGAAAAACAAGTCTTTTCTGCCTCCTATCAGGCAAAGGAAACTCAATCTTCCGATCAAGCCTTCCAGGACGCACAAGTGCAGGATCCAAGGTGTCTGCTCGGTTAGTAGCCATAATAACCTTAACATTCACTGTCTGGTCAAACCCATCCATCTGAAAAGATATTAAGCAAAAAACAACGTTGAGAACAGAAAGCAGAAAAGGAACGTTTCAGGGTTAAACTTTCCGACGTCTGTTGAAATATTTTCTCCACCCCCACAGCGATGCATTGAACATCCAAGTTCTGGTTTATTTACAGTTTTAGTTCATTCAGATTACAAATTATTTCAAGTCAAAACTTCCAGGCCTACCTGATTAAGGAGCTCCATAAGGATTCTCTGAACTTCTCTGTCAGCTCCAGTTTGAGCATCAAACCTTGCAGTAGCAATAGCATCCACCTCATCAATAAAGATGATGGCAGGTGCATTCTCCTTGGCAAGACGGAAAACATCACGAACCATTCGTGGACCCTTTGACAAAGAAAACAAAAAGAATTAAGAACTCACACTGTTTCTAACTTAGTCAATAAAACAGAGCGTGAGGCAACAAGAAAATATCACAGTGCCCTTGCAACACTTGCCCACAATATTTGTTATTCCAAAAAACAATAAGGATCTGTTGAATGTAAGAAAAAGATAACACACAAAAAATAGGACTATGTTATATACCTCTCCCAAATACTTCTGAACAAATTCTGAACCAACAACTCTGATGAAGGCAGCAGTTGTATGATTAGCCACGGCCTTTGCTAACATGGTTTTACCAGTTCCAGGTGGACCATAAAGCAATACACCACGTGGGGGATCTATTCCAATCTGTTTGTACAACTCGTGATGGGTAAGTGGCAGTTCTACTGCTTCACGGATTTCTTGCTTCTGAATGTCACATCCTCCAATATCCTGATGCACCACAACCCAAAAAAAAAAAAAAGAAAAGGGATTAACATATAGATTATAATTAAGTCAATGTGCCTATGGGTATTTAGCTCAGAGGCAGAGGCAAACAGATTAATCACATGCACAAAAAGCTTCACTGAATAACCGACTTGATTGCATTTGACAGAGCAAAACACATAGCGAATTGCTTCTATTACATAGCTAATTGTATAAGGAAACTTACTTCTTTCCTAATACAATCCTCAACAAAATAGGACACTAACTTTGACGAGCCAATTCCTATAAGAAATAATAATAGGCAATGTATTCAAGAATTAGACATTATAAAATCAGGGTGGGGGTGGTGAGCCAATACTTGAAATGTTACGTGTCCCCATGACACTTAATAAGAAAATTAAAGCATATTACACACCATAGCATTCTTGTTGTGTTGAAATTGGCTACCAACCAATAAAAGCAAACTAAACCTAATTGGTTAATTCTCAGAACCAACTAGTTTAGACAACAATAGCAACCAGTTCTTTCCAGGTATAAATTAGAAAAGATTAATGAGTTTCCTAGTTTAGACAACAAACCGTCAAATAGGATCAATTATATAATAGGCTGTACATCTCCTGCTTGAAAAGACTTTATAAAGCCTAAAGCTTCAGAATTTCGGCGCTAAGCATGGCAAATTGAGTAACATAAAGACCATTGAGTAAAGAGAATCAGTTATCCACACACTCAAATGGCACCGATAGAGTGAGTTTTTCAGAATAGCTAACTTTATCCTCAAGAAGTGGCGCCAGAATATCGTTAAATTCCATAAATCCAAAACCCTAATGGTAATCTATTGATTCCAATTAAGCATTTGTTGCAACAATTGATAGTAGGTGTCAAACACATGAAAAAAAAACCCTAATTCAGTCGTAACCCTAATCACTCAATTGGGCATAACTTACAGAGTAGGTGACATCGGGCTTCTCAGACTGGCTGAGGAGGGAAATACTTGAGTCGGCCTCCGGAGGCAAAACGTCGACGAGGGCATTGGAGTGGCGGTGCAAGGCAACGGAAGCAGAAGGCTTGAGGAGCTCCCGATTAATGGTGCTGAGAATCCTAACATAGTAATTGGAGCCAGTGGTGGAGCCCACAATCCCGTTGTTCTGGTCGACCATCTCCATGAATTGCCCGATGACGAGCGGCACCGATTGGATCCTCTTGACTTCTTCCTGGGCGCGGAGGAGCTCACGCTTCAGATTCTTCTGCTCGTCCTTGACGTACTCCTCCTGGATGTCGATGAACTCGAGCTGTCGCTGATAGGACTTGAGGCGGCTGTAGAGATCGTCCTCATCGGAGGCCTGGTTTTGGTCGGTGTAGCCCTGAAGGTCCAATCTTATGGAGGGGATTGAAGCTGGTGGCTCAGTCAAAGGTTTCGGATCCAACACCATGGCTGATCCTGACATTGTTGCACTCTCGGAGTTTCGATTCTTCTGGTTCGCTCTGGGGAGAAGCGAAGAGAGAGAGAGAAAGGGAGGTTAATTAAAAATTTCGACTCCGATCTATTTACAGGATAGCTTACATCAGCAAATATACACCATTCATCGGGTAAAATTCAATGACAGCAATTAAATACAATTTACTGATTTAAAAAGAACATTAAACAAAAAAAATCACCATTTTATACTTATACAAATAGAGTACACCCTATACACTCTAATAAGCGACTGATACGAACTGGCATGGTTAGCAGGTCTTGAAGTTGACGAGTAATCCCCAACACACCGAGGATTGCAGACCAACTGGGATTATTAACAGGACTACGTTTGTCATTAACCAATTTTTAGTTCATCAAACAATGTTACAGGGCATATTGGCTACTGATTTGGACATAAATAATTAATAAATTGTATTTGAAAGCCAAATATAATACACTACATTAGAAATTGAAATGATCATTGACAATTAGGGTTCCAGTTCCCAGGTAAAGACAAACATAAAAAAGTGTTCAAATCAAAAGTTCTAATTGATGAATTTTGCAATGTCCCTTCAATTTTTATGCAGCAAAGCGCTACCTAATTTCAAAAGGGCACAAATAAGAAAATCAACCCAAATCTAATTGAATAAACCCTAATTTAAATTTTACCCCAAAATTAACATCATACCTTTCTGGCAGCTTTCTTTGTCTGAATGAGTCTGAGAGAGACGGTGAAGATGGTGGGGGAGGAGAGCCAAGATTGAGAGCGCGGAGGAGATCGAGGAGAGACAGAAGAGAGAGAAGGAGTGAGCCTCACGAAAGTAAACTTCCGACTGCGATTTAACTGCCAGTTAGAAAGACGACGACGTTTTCCTGTGTTTCGCCACCGCTAGGCTCATAAACCAGCCCAAAACATTTTTTAATTGGTATTACACTAGGCCCATCATTTAAAAAAATTTGTCCAAAAATTTCAACCTCTTTTGGAGACAAATTTTTTTTATAATCAAAATGTTTCTGACTACGTTTGGTTCAAAAATTTAAAATATTTTTCGGTCACAAATGCATTTAAATTTTTAATAAAAAATTGTGATGAATTTTGCAAAAACACGTTGGATCTATTTAAAAAAAAATAAAAAAACATTTGTGCTTGTAAAAGAAAGTGTTTCTTACAATTGTAACTACAAGCACGATTGGAATATAAAGATGGAAAGGTTTAAACAACCTAGCTTTTAGTTTAGGAAAATAATTTCCCTCATAATTCAGCATGGAGATGTAGTAGTATTTCAGGTTAATCACATTATGTCATGTATCAAAATTAAAACACAAAATAATGCAGGATTATCTTAAGTTTGGCACAGATGAGTTGATGTAGAATAGATAGCCGAGTGGATTGAGGACGAAATGACCGAAGAAAGGCACAAGGATGTGGGGAGATATTACAGATTTGGAGTCAAACTCTTTTTCGAGCGCATAATACTTTTCCGAAAAGATGTCTCGGTTCAAACACATCACTTTGCTGTGAAGTATGATGGATTTTAGCCATCCGAGGTCGATAGTTTAGACTTTCAAAACCAAATTTTAAAGTTTGTAATAAAAATCGAACTTTTCCAAATTTCATCTGATTTATGTCATTCAATGCCAATAAGACCTCTGAGCTTTGCAGAAGTGAGTTTAAGTCAGATTAAGCCTTTTGCCTAATAAACATTCAAGAATTAAACTGGTGGATACCAGCTTTCCAATTCTTAGGTTTACACTTGTATTCTATTTACTATGCTCGTGCTGCGGCATGAGCGAAAGCAATTCGATTTTGGTTTTGTTTTACCAAATACATCACACTGTTACAAAGTGCAGATTGAATATAATTGGTCTTCGAATCAGTTCTGTAGTATGGATTGCATCAAAAGGTATGTAGATTTTATATTTTTTTAGAAGTATAGGTATATTGTGAAAAGAAATAAAGAAATAAAAATATAAATAATAAATAAAAATAAAAATAACCAATTGGGCATGTAACTATTAACATATAACTACTCATGGTATTCAGTTATGAACATGTGGAAATTACAACTTTACACCGTAAAATATACATACACAACAAACAATATGAAACTGAAACAGGTCGAGATTTGGCTACGTTGGTTTCTATTAATTGAAGCTTCTCTCTCTTTTTCTGTGTGGTAAATATGTAATTGAAGTTCAGGAACAGTAAATTGAGGTTTCAGAACAAAAACATGAAAGGAAAACAAAACCTGATCAACAACTTTAGAAGAATAACAAAGAGATGGTTCCCCACCTTCTACGTAACCTCCTATTTTTAGTCAGATATACCCGACTAGGGTTCTTATATATGTACTACTCTTTTCATCCATTGCTTCACCCAAGTAAATATTTAATTACAAATTTATTTAGCCGGTCTTGGCAAATGGAGTCCCCACTTTCTCATCATTTATTGCTCCTCGCTTGCTTCCTCATATTATTTCTCTCTTCTTCTCCTACACCGGCAGATGCAAGAGCGTCTCCATTAGTTCGGAGTGTTTGCAAGGCAACCCGAGACTCTTTCAGTCAAAACTACACTCTATGCGTAAAAACTCTCTGGTCAGATGCTCGAATTCGATCGTCAGCAGCATCCAATGATCTCAAAGAACTTGCTATAAATATTCTTGAGGTAGCAGGAGAAACTGCACAGGATGCCCAAGGGTTGCTCAACAGTTATCAGCCCATGATCAAGAGCAGCAAAGAAACCAAAGCAATTCAACAGTGTGCGCAATCGTACGGATCAGTTGCTTCGTGTTTCCGAGGCACACAAGATGAGGTAAAGGAAGAGGACACCATGGCCAACTATACCGTCGCAAGGGTCTCCGACGACATCGGTGTTTGTGAGAAAGCATTGAGTTCTGATGGGGTGAAGCTTCCTACTACAATATCTACCAGACTCCAGTTGGTGAAGTTGTATAACTACATTGGTTACACCATCACTATTCAGTTACTAAGTATCTGGCTCCACCACTAGAAACCTAATTAATTATACATAACTACGAGGATCTTAGGGGGTACTGAACTAAATAAAAAAAATGTACGTGCATGGAGCGCTGTAACAATAATGACTGAGAGCATTGACCTCCCCTGTAACAAAAATGAAAGAGGACGAAATAATAATTGATATAGCAAACCATTTATGTCTATAACTGATTACTAATTTAACTACTACAAGGATCTTAGAAGGTACTGAAATAAATGAAAAAGATGTACGTGCATGCATGAAGTGTTGTAACAATAATGACTGATGAGAGCATCGACCTCCCTTGTAACAAATATGAAAGAGGAAGAAACAATGATCGATACAGCATACGTATCTGTATGTCTTCATAATAACTTCAAACCAATCATCCGATGAGAACTGAATCACATCTCACTTGTTTGAAGGACATAATTGACTCAACATGAGTTCGGATGTGCATAAGTTGAATATGGGCTTAAATATGTATAAAGTGTTAATTAAGGTGAATTGGTGATTAACCCACCCGTATCTACATATCTGTATATATAAAGCCAGCAGGTCCCTTTTGGGGTCACTGCTTCACCAAAAAAATTCGAATAAAAATACCCCCAAAACAAAAAAGTTCAAAAGCATCCCAAAATAATGCACTAATAATGCAGAGGTATTTTTGTCATATATACAATGTTTTTTTTTTAATAATTAATTCTTTTGTACAGTCTTTTTTTTAATTTTTATAATTAGTACCTCACAATGGGCTAGCAATAATGTAATTCAATTAGTTGTCAAATGATTGTTTTTTTATTGTTTTTGAACAAACGATATTATCTACACTAAGAGGGAGGGGTTAGGCTTACCCTTACAATGGACTAGCGAGAATCAAAGGCGGCGTTGAGGGGAGTGAAAGGTACAGTCACACAGGGCCCCCAAAAACTTTTGGTATCTTATATTTATATGTAATATTGTTATATATTAAAAATATACTTTTATTAGTGCTTTAAAATCTTATAGTGTACTTTTTATAAGTAAATTTTTTTTTCTTTCTAAATGTAAAAATTTGAAGTGCACAATGAGATAATAGGAGTGCCAATAATAACACCTTAAAAAACGATTTTCTTTTCAATTTTATTATATAATAATGTTATATATTCAAGTGAAACTTTAAAGTTAGAGTATTTGAAGCTTTTTTTTTCTTTATTTGGTTGCTTAAGATTGAATAGTTTTTTATTGTTTAGTGAAGGTTATGTTTGTAATTCTTTTTACTTATTTAATGACATTTGTAAACTTACAATGAGTGAGTCCTAAATGTTGTTTTGATTTAAGTTATTATTTTCTAGAACCAATATATTGTCCTACTTAAAAAAAAATTAAAAACTATCTTAAAAATGGGCCCTTTTATAAATTTCGCACAGGGACCCCAAAATCTCAGAAACGGCCCTAGCGATAATGTGATTCAATTAGTTATTTATTAAATATTATTTTCTCTATTTTTAAACATGTTTAAAACATCTTAAGATGCGCGTAGTGTCAGTTATAAAAAAGGTATTTCGCACGCGCATAATAATATGATTCAATTAGTTGTCAAATGATTTTTTTTTTTTTGAACAAACGATATTATCTACACTGAGGGGAGGGGTGGGCTTAACCTCACAATAGGCTAGGAATAATGTGATTCAATCAGTTGTTTATTAAATATTATTTTCTCTATTTTTAAACATGTTGAAAACATCTTAAGAGACACGTACCGTTGGTGATAAAAAAAATCTTTCGCACACGCACAATAATGTGATTCAATCAGTTGTATTATTTTCTCTATTTTTAAACACTTAAGAGGCACATAGTGCCAATTATAAAAAAGGTATTTCGCACACGCATAATAATGTGATTCAATTAGTTGTCAGTTGATCTTTTTTTTTTTTTAACAAACGATGTTATCTACACTAAGAGGAAGTGGGTTTAGCCTCACAATGGGTTAGCAAGAATGTACTTCAATCAGTTGTTTATTAAATATTATTTTTCTCTATTTTGTAAACTTAATAGAATGTAGATGGAAATTGAAAGACCAATTTTATTATATGGATTCAACTGCTTTGATTGGTTTATGAGGGGTTTATTCTAGTATGATCTAATATTATTTATTTACTTCAAATATTTGACTTTTTTTTTGTCATAAAAAAATTATGAAGCAATTCAGTTATATAAATACATTTAAAATGTGTAAGTCGCGCGTAACACGTCGTGATTTAAAAAATATCTTATGCACATACGTGAGCGTGTGCATTACGCGCGTGCATGAAGGCTAGTCTATCATAAAGTGTGGGCACATTTAGAATGGATTACTTCAGCAAAACATTCCAAACCAATCACAATGTAATGGTTTGGTTCGATTTTGACTACTTATGGAACTTGAACCAAACCAAACCAACAATGAACAGTTTGATTCTAGTAGTTTAGTCCTACTGTACACACAGTTTATTTTTACTGTGCGCAGTGTCTATTTTTCTTGTCCATTTTTTCAACTTTTTAGCCCAATTACAATACATTTTTAGAAAAACTAATAAAAAAAATGTTTGAAAACTTTAAGTTTTAACGATAAGGACAAAATAAATGGTAAAGTGAATAGTACCAGGATTGATTTTTTAGCGTAAAAATGTGATTTTTTGTTAAAATGAACTGTACTAGGAACTTTTCGTTAAAATTTCCTAAATTTTTTTGTTGGACCTAATTATGATGACAACTAATCCGTAATTTGCTTAATTTTTTTATTTTAACATCGTATCATCTTCAGATCCAACATGATAATAAACTTAAAGTTTGGTAACTCATACAGTTACGACTCAAAGCTCAATAAC